CTCGGAGACGACGACGGAAACGCGACGGACGTCCGGGTGCACCCTCACCGGCCGAAAACAACCTACCCTGCGGAGCTCGATCCAGGCTGGTATTTTATGATATTCTCAACGGCGGAACTCGTGACGCTCACCGCCTTCGGGCTCTCCCACGTCGGAACGCCCGACAGGAACAATTACCAGAGAAAATTCGTTTTACGAGAACGTATTTGACATGTTCGTTGATACCCTCACAGGCGAACCGCAAGAGAACCCGTTCGTGCCGGCGTCGTTCGACGACTACGACCCAGAATCTCTCGGACCAGGTCAGGCCTCACAACTACCCCTCTCCTCCCCCCATATCTAACTTAAAGTAATTTAAACTTAATCTACTTAATCTACTTAAAGTAATTTAAAATCACGTCAACACCAGCACGCCTCCCGATTCGATCCACTCACAGCAATCTTCTCTTTCCATCATTTCCCCCCCGGGGACTCCCTCCACCCAGAACCGGAGAGGGCTGACCCTCGCCCAGGGAACCGGACGCTCTCATCCAACACGAGCATGGACCTCCTCCCTCCGGACCTCCTCCCTCTCGCCTCCGAAGTGACATTTGACCTCATGAGAAACGTCTCGGGGCCCGAGGCACTCGTCTTCTGGTGTGAGCAGGGCCTCTGTGCATTCCCTCGAGGGTCGCGCGTTTCATTCCATCGATTTTTTTTATACTTAATTTTTCAGCAAACTAAAAAATGTGATACCTAATGATTTTTAAGCTTTATTTGGCAGCAATTTTTTTTTGCCTTTTTTGGAATTTTTTTGGAATCGTTAAGCTCTCGCAGAGCATAATGGAAGGGAGTGGATGGTCGTCCCTCCTTCCTTCCCCTTAACTCTTCATTTCCCAAATTATTTCGTCTGTATTATCAATTACTATACGAATTAACTGACATATTATATATGCCAGAATAATAGGGGTTCGCTAATGGGCTTCGACTGCATCTTTTCCGATATGTCGAGCTTCAGAAAAAGAGGCGAGAAAAGAGGCGAACAGTTCAACGAAATTGATGTAAAATAATTAAAAATGAGAAATTTTAAGTTTCAAATTAATTTAAATTTAAAAGAGTAAAAATAATTCAATTAGCAATAGATTTTGACTAAAATAAAAAATGGTCTGAAATCGGCAGCGTTGGAAATGCAGAAGTACATGAACACCTCGGCGGACCCGTGCGCGGACTTCCACGAGTTCGCCTGCGGGAGCTGGGGCCTCCACCACCACCTCTCGGAGGACAAGGCGGTGATGGACACCTTCGAGATCCTGAGGGAGAAGGTGGACCACGCGCTGAGAGACATCCTGGAGCAGCCGGAGGAGGTGGAGGCGTACATGCGCGCGAACGTGGAGGCGAAGCGGTTCTACCGGTCGTGCATGGATACGGGTGAGGGGATCTCAGGGTTTCAAGTCTTTTAAATATATATTTATTATTTATTTAGTTATTTAAATTCATGGAAAAAATTGAAAGGTAAAATATAAATAATAAATGAATAATTTTCGAACATGTACGTGTCTGGGGGAAAGTGACTTTTGGGGCGTCTAAGCAAGAATTATGTGGCGTTCCTGCTCTGGGTGGCTGGGGCTCTCAAGGGGATTCCGAAGTCAAATTTCTTGGGCTCCCTGAGTCGCGGGAAAATGGCGGGTTTTCAGCACGCTAGGTCGAATGGCTCTCGGAACGTGCTGCACTCCCTCTCGAGGTGTTGGATGCGGCTACCCCTGTCTTCAAGGGTCAATGATTCTTCCGTCCCGAGTAGCAAGGGATGATCCCAGGGACGTCCCCGATAGATCCTGCCATCGCTAATTGATCCCGGCGACCCATATCCCTCGAGGGACGTCTCGTGGATATTTGGCGTATGGGACGACAGTATTCCTGACCTTACGGGATGTCCTCTGGATGTTCCATCGATTTTCACTTCCCGGGACGTTTCATGAGGACATCCATGGGATGTCATCCTGTCCCCCGTGGGATCCATATGAGAATGTCTCAGGGATGTGCCGTTGCTCGTCGGGGTCTCGCGGCCATGCGTGTGTGCACATCGGTGTGACAGTCATCTTGTGTGCACCGAGAGACGAAGGAAAAAAAAAGAGATAACAGGAAATTCTCTTCTGCCTTCTCGATTCTTGCGTTTCTGGTCACGTGACCGTCGGTCTGGCCCCCCTCTGTCTCGGGCCCTTCCGAAAATGCAACGATGCTGTGAATGTGAACGCAAACGGAATTTAGCTCCTCGGCCGAATTCGCCTCGATCTCGTCCTTTTCGGGAATTTCTCAGTCCCGGCATTCGATTCGGAAAAGCAGGATGAAGTTGGACCAGCTCTCGTGTTGATTTTTCCTAAATAAAGGTAAAAGTTCAGTTCAGTTTCTCTTCGAAAAATCATCGGAAGGAAGCTAAGTCGAATGGACATAACACTTTTTCCTACCTCATCACTCCTTATGACTCTTCATTAGTATAATTATCATCACTCGCATTCCTGTCATTCATTCGAAACCGGTCGAAGAAAAACTGCGGACTCCCGACTCGCGAGGCCCCCCCCCCCCCCCCCCCCCCCCCC